TATTAGGGCCCTTAAGTTTGAGCCTAAATTTTCCTTGAGAAACTGTATAGTTCTAGGTTTCACATTTAAGTCTTTGATCCATCTGGAGTTTGTTTTTGATGCACATACTGTTTTAAGGATATCAAGTCAGAGAGGCAGTCAAATTTCTGCTAATGGTCCTACCCTCATCCAGTCTTTAAATGACAACAAAGTTAGGAATTATAAATTGAAAGATTCAGTGAAATCTCTATTGGAGTTTAGGCCCTTTAAGGAGACTGAGCTGCCATAAATCTTAAGAGTTTTATTAGATGCTGCTGAATCGATTCTAACTCATAGCAACCTTATGTGACATAGAACTGCCCCATAGGGTTTCCTAGTATGTAACTGCTTAACTTATTCCACCAAGTTCCTTAAATCTTAGATTACCAGTATATAAATAAAATTGCATTTGCTGAGGGGATAGTTTTCTCCCTAAATCATAAGCAGTAACAATTAAGTTACTCTGCTAATGACAACTTGGAGTAGTCTTCAAAGCCCGTTGAGCACTGAAATTTACATTCTTTTTCTCCTCTTTTATCCTGTAGGCAAAAGTTCTTCGGGAAACCAAGCCAATCCCTAACCTCATCTTTGCTATTGAACAGTATGAAAAATTTCTCATCCACCTTTCTAAAAGGTCCAAGGTAAACGAATGCTGTTTTGCTTTTTTAAAAAAAAAAAAAAACCTTTCCTGTATACCTTGAGATAACCTGACACACTAAAGCAGAACTGCAGTGAAGGGAAAAAAGTCAAACTGTGAGCCTTTTCTATTCCTCTGCTGTTAGTGATTTGATTGTCTGAACCCAAACATTATGTGGGAAACTGATGGAAAAACAGGTCAAGTGAGCGTTTGCTTACTTTAAGTAGGAACTGACAGGTTTGTCAGAGGTACAGAGTATGGTTTGCATAGACTGGGGCATGAATAAGGTGGAACCATCAACGGGAAAGTGTTCCCACGCTTACAATCATGTCACAGGTGAACCTGATGCAGCACATGAAGCTCAGCACCTCACGGGACTTCAAGATTAAAGGAAACATCCTGGACATGGTTCTTCAAGAGGAGGAGGAGGAGGAGGATGAAAATGAAGAGGTCAGTCCCTGCTTCTGTCTGGAGAGCAGCAAGCCTCAGCTGCCCTTCCCAGCCAGTGGTTCAGTCTATCTGGGAACAGCCACATGAGTGAAGGAGCAAGAACCAACAGGGCATGGGCTTAAAAGGTGGCTACTCGAACACAAAACCAAGAACTCTTTTAGAGAAGGGTTATAAACTTCTGAGTCCACATCCCACCAAGTTGCCCAGATTTAATATGCGTTTCTGGTAGACATTTACAGGGAAGGCCACTAACAGAGAAAGGTCTTGCTGGGTCTTCTTCCTGTGACCTTCTGAAGCACTAGAAATATGACTAGCTATAGCATTAGACTGGGAGCTCTGGTTGCATAGTGCCTAAGGCACTTGACTGCTAACCAGAAGGCTGGCGGTTCAAACCCATCAGCCACTCTTCATAAGGAAGGTTGGGCAATCCTACTTCCGTAGTGATACTGCCTTGGAAATCCAAGGAGGGGTCGCTATGAGTCGGGGGCGACTTGACGGCAAATAAGAACAACAACAACATAGCATTAGACTTGGAAAGCAATCTACTTCCTCTTCAAAGTCGGGTCACTCTTGATAAGTTCAGGAAGGCACCTTTCAATATGCAAAATGCAACTTCTTAATCTCCTTTCCTCTCTGGTTTTTCCTCTCCCTTTATTTAGTTCTACCAGCAACCATATCACACAATCCCTATAGGATTTTTGGAACACAGCCCAATGTTTCCTTACCTCTAGTACCTAAAATAGTTTTTAGGTTTGTCTGAATAGAAGTAGCAAGTTTGTGGCCCCTGCTTATTTCAAAACTAGCAGTTTACATAAAATCCTAGATTTCTGACTTATCAAAACATCTAAGCCTACATACTTGAGATTGTGATGCTCCAGGCCACAATGCACCTGGCCTCATCCACTCTCTTTACCTAATCTCCTGGGCCTGAGAGTTTAGGAGGGTTGTGTAGCATTCTGACAGCTGAGGCTCTTGCTCAGGCTCCATCTCTGTCATCTGGTGGCCCCTGAATCGCCACGGGTATAAAAGTCCAAAGGAATAGTAGTATGAGTACTGCTCTGCTCTACTGTGGAGGCCTTTTCCTCCTTCAGCAATTTCTTCCTGTGAATGGGAAAGGGGAAGAACATGACTGACACAGGCTCAGATGAGAAGATGATAGAGTTTTTTGTTTTGTTTTTTATTTCCACTGCCTCATAGCAGGTTTCTCATGTTAGAACATCACTTCCCTCCCCTTCTAGGGCACTGCATCAGAGCACAGGGGACAGAACAAAGAACCAGCCAAGAAGAAAAGGAAAAAAGAAATGAAATGCCTGAGTTAATGAGCTTTGGGGCTTCTGCTTTCTTTTTACCCAATGAGCAACAGTGCCCCCTTGTCCTACAGCCTGCACCAATGCTGGCATTTTGGTTCTAAACTGATGGAACTCAACTGTGCCATCAGTTAATCATTCTTGGCAGGTCCTGATACTGAAGATGGCTGGCCTTAGGCAAGCCCTTTTGCCAAAAGCACAGCTGAAAGCCTGAGTTTGGGAGCCTGCACCGCCCCAATGAAGCTCCACAGGAGCAAATACAGAGCCTCCAGGCAGAGCTATGGTCCAGGCTGGCTTCGTTTTTCCAAGGAGCCTTTGGTGAGTTCAATTATCTGGTAAATATCCAGTGCTTCACCTGAAAGATAGATAGTGCAACACGGTTAGGACGTCTCAAGAACTAGCTGAGAAGTGAAAAAGGAACTTAATGTTTAGGTCAAAAAGGAGTGTGGGAGGGCTGACAGGATTGCCAAGAATAGTAATTTGCATTTAGAAGGGTCTCTTTTCCTTTGCACAAAATAAAAATAAGCCTTCTTTACTTGTTTGGCATTCAAAACAGTTTCTTTCCATCTGAGAATGCACTTTGATTTTACACAATAAATTCTCTTTAAACAGCTTTAGTGTGGTTGACAAGGACAGGTACAGATAAAATATTTGAAGCTCTAGCTTCTTCATTGACATAAACTGCTTTCTAGAAACAAACATCCCTTTGTGATTTGAACATCAAGTTCATCTTAGATCCAGGGCACCTTATGAAATGAAATAGCCTAAAGTACAGCATACATCAGGAATGATTTCTCTGAGGACCAAACTTCCTGTTGGACAAGATCACCTTCTAGTCCACTTTACATCCTATACATAATGAAGAACAAATATGTTATGCTTACCCTGGGGAATCCCGTATCTCCTTTCCATCCCAGTTGGATTGGAAGGGGTTTTACAATCCATTGTCACTTCCTTCCTGAGGCACTGGTCAATATCGACTGCACTGAAAAAGGCGACTGACTGGGGCAGGTCATTGAGACCCAGCTTGTAGGCAAACATGCACCTGAAAGAGACCCAATCTCCTCTCACAGGCATGCCCCTGCTGTGAGCAAAGGCTCATCACTACAGGAGAAATGGCAAGTAGCCCTTTTAGCAGGCGCCTCCCTGAGCCCAACCCTCTGAGCGCTTAGCTAAACCTAGAAAGCCTAGAGCCCTGCACTTCTGTCCACCATCTAGAAGCTTTAATATCTCCGACAGATACAGAAATGTTATTACAGATGAAACACTTTTTTTCCCCAGTTTGGTTCACTTTATTGTTGTAAAAAAAAAATCTTTTCAATTATTGGGCCAGTGTTTGAGGGAGATAGGAGGACTTTCTGTCAACTCTGTTAATTCCCAGGACTTAATGAAAAGGGCAATAAACACAGTGCTGAATATTGTAAACATCTGTTATTTAACTATTAACCAGGATCCATCATGGTTCCCAAACTGGTTCTGAGTAGCAGATCAAGATGGAACTATAATATCATTTCATTCAGTCATATGAAATAGAAATTTTATTATTATGAGAAAATACAACTCAAACATATAAAACATTTTTAAATCACATTTGAGCTTTCCCATTCACAATGTTTTCCGTTAGTCAGAATAAACTTTTAGCACTTAAGTAAGTCATTAATGGAAGAAAGAAAAAATACCTCAATTTTCAATGAACTGAGAAAAAGCCTTCTGTCATGTGCTTTCAAAGCAGAAAGTTGTGTTCTTTTGAGAGCACAGTTTAAAAGAATGACCTTTCAGAGTAACTCCCCTGACCTCAGTAATCTAGTCCTGGTATGTCATTTTCAAACCCAGGAAATCTTTTTAAAAAGTTGAGTCCAGTCTTTTTTAGGACTTTATAAATTGTTTCATTTTTAAATTAGACATAAAAGCTGAAACATTCATTTCTGGGGAAATGAAAACTCACAGATAAGGGCTGCTCATGTAGGTCCAACAGTCTCTTCAACAAAAGCCCCACACGTGAGCATGTGGCCAGCCAGAGAGGCAATGGGCCCTGCGTACCTGGTCAAGAGGTTGGTGATCTGCAGGGCCAGGGCAGCACGGTATCGGTCCTCCTCCCGCACCAAGTAGCGGACTTCATCATGGATGCTGATACAGAAGCGCCCATCAATGCCAAACTCCTCAAACAGCCACTTCATAGCCACAAGCATGAGGTGTAAGTAGTCCACAGCAGAGCTCTGCACCACCCAATTCACACGGCTGGTCATAAACTGGAGGAGGGAGTGGACACAAATGAGGGGCTGTGCCATACACACCAGTTAGCTCTGGGGGAGAAGGTGGTACAGGAGTCCCAAGAAAAGCTCTACTCTGGCCCATGTGCACACATTGGTGAGGCCTAGAGGGAGCCTTGCCCTCCCTGAGATCTCTCTCCCCATGCTCCAAGAGTAGCAAGATACCTCTCCCTGGACGGCCGAGGGCTCCAGGGCTCGGCTGATGCGGCAGCCCAGCACTGGGGTACGCGGTGTGTCAGACATGGCAATGCTCTCCAGCTTATTGAACATTTCTGACTCTGTGCCCCCCATCCATGCTCGCTCAGCAACCACCTCCCACTTCTTCCGGCGTGACCTGGAGGACCAGGAACAAAGAAGGCAAGCTTTTGTCTTTTAGCACCTCAGCTAAAAGCATCCCTGCTCTTTTGGGCCAGCCCAGACCCCTGCCCTCCATCCTTAACACCCAGAAGATTCTCACTTCCTTGAAGCTTCTCTCTGGATCTTGCGCAGATCCTGCATGGAAACCCAGCTATCTTCAGTCCTGTCCACAAGGAGGTCCAACTCCCTCACCAGCCACTCGCCCTCATCCGATAGCCGATACCTGGGGGCAATGTCACCACCATCATTCCCATGGAAGAGCCTCCCCCGTGCCAAGCCCAGGCCTGGGAGTGCTCATACACTACTCACTCCAGTTCTGCAACAACCCTGGGACCCTTTCCCTCTTCCTAACAGGCTCTATTTCAGAGGAAGCAAAGGCACAGAGAGGCTGAAGTGATTTGCTAGACTCACACAGCTAGGAAGAGGTGAAGCCTAGACAAGAACCCAGGCCTTTCTGGCCCCAAAGCCCATGCCAATATTGCATCCCAATAAAGGACAGACTCTGTCACTGTTCTGTTGTAATGCCTTAGACATTGAACTGCCTGAGACCAACAGGTATATTAGTTCAGGAGGCAGCAATAGCCATCATTCTAGATTCTGGGGGGAAGAATGGGCTGCTCCTTAAAAGAGACAGGATGAGAAGCAGAGGATGGGGCACATACAGCCAGGTTGTTGTACCCTTCCTCTCCAGTCCCACTCCCCAGACTCGCAGCTTCAGTGAAAACTGCAGGCCATCACCACACTTGTGCCCTAGTACTCCAGACTTGGGTCACTCACCTGCTCAAAGGGTACCAGCATTTCCCTACCTCCTGTGCTGCCAGTCCAAACTCCTCTGTGAGACTTTGAAGGTCTTTACAACTAAGGCTCAACCTCATTTCTAATCATTGGCCTTGGGGCATCCATCAGCCCATGCTGTGAGCCACACCCAAGCCCATCTCATTCCACAAGGAAGCACCTCCCATCTAGGCTCCCTTCTGCATTTATCTAGTCACCAAACCAGCTGCTGTCAAGTAGATCCTGACTCATAGCAACCCCTCCTTGGGTTTCTGAGGCAGTATCACTACAGAAGTAGATTGCCCCATCTTCCTTCTGAGGAGTGGCTGGTGGGTTTGAACCGCCAGCCTTCTGGTTAGCAGTCAAGTACCTTAGGCATTATGCCACCAGAGCTCCCAGCAACCCTATAGGACAGAATAAAACTATTCCATAGGGTTTCCAAGGCTGTAAATCTTTATGGAGGCAGACTGCCACATCTTCTCCTCAGAGAAGCTGATGGGGTTGAACTACTGACCTTTTGGTTAGCAGCCTAGCACTTAACACTGCACCACCAGAGTTTCTTATCTAGTCACCACTACACATTTATCACTTACTTAACTTTTATTCTTTTATGAGGTGAGTTTCTACAATAAATAGTCAACAATTAAATGTGACCTCTTACACCTAAGGAAACTGTATGTACTTCTTCCCTCACACATCTCCCTGCCTAGGTCCTGCTAAGGCCCTGAGCACACAGGCTGTATTACTACCAAGGTCTCTCCCTATCAGAGGAAACAAACTAGAGCTTCGAGGCTAGTAAACTTGAAGGTTAAACACTGCAGTTTTGCATAGCAACATCCCATCAACTGCTACTGTTTTATACCTGACTGCTTCACTCACTTTCATTACCCAGAGGTATTTGAATTTGCATTCTCCACGTTACTGTTTATACCAAGGCTTCAAACCAGTTCGATCATGGCCAATGCATGGAATTTAGAACAGATCCGAATCTGTAAAACCAGTGTACCAGAACAATAACTGAAAGGGGAAAACTTATGCGTCACTCATGGCCCTGGAATAGGAGACTCAGAAAAGGCGTAGTGAGCCCTTTCAGCAGGGTGATGAAGACTGGATTATTTCCAGGACTGTGGAGAGTGACATTCATGGTGATGTGGTCAGCCACCATCTTTTTTTTTTTGGTGGGGCACCAGTTTCCAACTGCTGGTCAAAAGATTTGGTTACTATGCATACACTGCCCTCATTTTCTAAGAGAGAAATTAAGTTTCTAACAGGGCATCAACCTGTAATTTCTCCCACTCTGGTTATCATTTTGATTCACCCATATTTTACAAATTCAGGTTCATTCTGGTTTTGCTTCACCAGCAATGAATGAGCCAAGAAGAAATGGTTTGAAGCCCTGGTTTATATTCCAAGACCAGAGTGCTGACTGGCTCTCTCTCACACTGACAACATACCACAAGTATAGCTTTAGCTACAAACAAAATGTCACAATGGCAAGAACAAGCCATCCTAGAGCTTACATACAGGGGTCTAGAGCAGAGGGGCCAGGTGATAGCTTAGGTAATGGGCAAGACGTAGAAAAGATGGGGAGAGTGATGCAGTAGTAAAGCAGGCCTGAGGCCATAGAGGTTAATGTGGATGGGGGAGGGGCCCTCACCGGCGGAGGCCCTTGGTGACAGCATACATCTGCTGGGCCTTCTCAGTAGCCTCCTGTTGTGTGAGCCGGTGATTGAACTGCATTAGAAGGCGTTCAGCAAAGGGCTGCCCAGCCCCATAGATGCGGCCATAGTTGAAGACCTTGGCATGCTCACGACTGATGCCCACCGTTGCAGCTGTCTTACTGTGCAGATCAGTGCCCCTGCTCTTCCTGCCCTGTAGTGTCATCCACCCAAAGGCTGTGCAGCCTAGGGGACAAGGCAGGACTGAGAAAGGAGGCTCACACATATTCTGCCCACTCAACTGGACCCCTGAGGATCAAGCTGCTTCCACCCTTGCCCCACGAGGTTCCTGCTCACCATGCATGCCAGCAAAATGGGCGTCTCCAAGCACAGCTGCAATCCACAGCTCCTGTGAGTCCACGTCAGCACCCACGAGGACATAGCCAGGTGGGGCCTGCACCATGGCCTTCAACTCACTGCCTACTCGGTCGGGCTGCAGGAAAAGCAAGGTCAGGGCCTACTGAGGTACCCAAATCAGACTCCTCCCACCCAGCTTCTGGAGCCAGAGTTGATTGAGAAAATACTAGGGCCTTTCCTGAGGGAATGGCCTCAGGGAATGCCAGATACCACTGCTCCCAAATTCTACAGTTCCAAGGGGTGACAGGCAAGCAAGCTCTATCCTATGCCTGGCTCCGTACCAGGCCCCTCACCTACACGGTTTCATCTATCTTCATAAGAGCTGTGCTATTGTGCCTGTAAGTGTGGGGCAGGGGCCCACGACACATCTGAAGGAATGAGTAAGAATGTGAATCCAGATTTGAAGTCAAGTCCTACCTAACCCAGCTCTTAGGTTCCTTCTCATGGTCCTCACTAAATCCCTAAGGCCCATGGAGATAACAGTTTCTAAATGGAGATTTGAGGAAGAGCAGGGGCCAGAGATGCAGAGGTCGCATACCCGGGCATTGCTGGCAGTAAGCCATGTAGGTTCCACAGCTCGGCGAGTGATGGTCCCGGCAGTCACCACCTGGGGCAGGATGGCCCCATAGCGGCCTTCCTCGTCGTAGTCAGGGTGCCTGTAGAGGTGGGAAGATGAGTCTCATCATTTGGCCATGGAACCCAGGACTTGTCCTACACAGTGCGTCTATCCCCAGGATCACTCAGCAGGCCATACCTGGTCACAGCACGGGGCAGAGCTGACCTGGGCAGCCATACTACCATCTGGGAGCTGTGGGGACAGACAGGATGAGGCTCAGCACAGCTATGGGGAGCAGACTCCACCCCCCAGCCCACCGTGGCCCTCACCTGCCCAGCTTCAGGGCTGCTGTGCCCCTTCCTTGCCCGGCCTCCACCCTCTTCCTACTGACTTGACTCAGGGTGGGCCCTGGCTCAGCCAAGGCCTGGGGCCCTAGAATACACCAACCAGGAGCATCAGAGATCTGGGAATGGACCAGACCTCCTAGGCAGTTTCTGCCCCATCCCTGGATATCTAAGAGGTATCCAACATCAGCCACTGCCACCACTGCCTCTTCCCAGACCCCCGGCAGACTTTGCCAGCCCATCATAGCACTTTTCCTTCTCAAAACAGTATGCAGGCAGCCACAACCTTGGAACTGGTTTTAGGATGAATCCATTTGCCATTCCCAACCTACAGGACCCACTCCCAGGCCCCAATAGGGCTACAGGCCACCAGCCCTCACAGTCCTCAGCTACATCCCATGGTTCTAGCAGGGGCTCATTTAGAGTTGGGAGGGCCCACAGAGGTCCTACAGTACAACTCTTTTTACATAAACAGAGAAATTGAAGTTACAGAGGAAGAAAGACTTGCCCGAGGTCACGTAGCACCAGGACAAGCAGCCAGGTCTCTAGACCACAGCTAGGCTGTCCTTCTGTTGCTGCCCAAGCCAAGTCAGGGGCCCCTGGATGAGAGGTGGAAGAGGGGAGTCCCAGGGCTGCAGAAACCTGGCCAGGGACATAGGTCTATCTCTACCCTCCTGTGCTAGCCCACCTGATGCGTTTATGGGCGTTCCTCCAGAAAGAAATCATTTTGTTGATTTCCAGGGCACGGGGCCCACTGGCACCTCCTGGGCCAGCCTGCAGGGTGCCATCCTCCATCTTGGGCAGGAAGTCCTTGGCAAAAGGGCTGCCCACGTTGCAGTTGTTACCATCCTAGAAAGGGTAAAGGCAACAAGAGCTGGTGTCAGGTGGTAGGCCCCTAGGCTGAGGAACCATGTCCTTTGTGCCTGGGCTCCTCCCACCACCTGGCCCAGAACCTGGAGCCATCTGGAGCAGATCCCTGATTGCACCCCCCCCCACCCCCAACACACACAGACTAGGTAGGCACTAAGACAGAGATACAACACAGCTGGCTCCCCTCAAAGCAACCGCTACCAGTCAAAAGAATCTATCACATACTGAAATGTGGTGCCACCATGACCCACACCACACAATTTACAGAAGAAAAAGGCTTAGAGAGACTGAGATATTTGCCTAAGATCATTCCCTGTCCCCCTGCTACTACCATTCCTGCAAAAAAGCCCAGACTCCTGGTCTGAGTCACTCTGGAGGCCTACTCTGGGTCTAGAGCACAGTCAGGAAACCAAGAGCATGAAACAGAACACACACCTTGTGAGGCAACTTGAAAAACCAGCAACCAGGGACATCCACATCATTGTAAGGTCCATTGCCATGATGATAGGTAGGATGGCTGGCTTTTGGATCACCAGGGGCAGTCTGTGGGGCCACACAGCTATATCAGGCCCTGATTCAGCACCTGCATTCAGTGAGGGCCATGGGGTAGGGGGTGGGACATACAGGCCTGGAACTGACCAGATGAGCTAGAAATGATAACATGGCCATGAGCTCTCAAGCCCCTTAGCCTCCAATAGGTATGGGACCACTCAGGGGCAGGACAGCCCCTACACCCAAGACCTAAGGAACTCTCCAGTAGGAATAGCAACCTGGGCAAGAGTAGGCCCCTGCTGCCCAGCACCCACCCAAAGAACCCACGCAGGTGCTCTGCTCACCAGAACTGGAGGTTGACCTGGCACTGCTGATCTAAAGTTCTCCATCTTGGCCTCAGCCTCCAGTTCTAAGCAGCCCAGTTCTTCTACCTGGATAAGACCATGGACCAAGGGAATAATGGGGGCTGGGTCGGCTGGAATATACCAGTCCCCTCCCTACAGGACACTCAGCCCAAGCCAACGTGAAGTGAGCAACTCCTCAGCACACCTGGTACCTCATTCCTCACCCAAAGGCCACCCCTTCCATGGAGGACAGACCCCACCCCAGAACTCAGGTGGGAGCCTGCCCTCACCGTCTGCCACATGGTGCTATTGTCGGTGAGCAGAAACTCCTCAGCTAGGCCTGCCTCCTGGGACTCTGGCTGTTGTTTCCCCTGTTCGAAACAGTGCTTCCTGTACAGGGACTCGATGGCTCTGGGCAGAGAATAGCAGCAGCAGCCTCTGATTACTGGGTGCCCGCTCTGAGCCAGGCAGCTCACTGGAGGCCTTCCAGAATCCTTTTGTTTAATCCTCAGAATCAGCTCTGAGGCAGAATTGGGCAGAGCTTGCCCTGCTTTTTAGACAAGGATAGACAAACCCAAAGTGACACATCACACTGGTGGCTGGCAGGGGTCTAAGGCCTGGTCTGATCAAATCAAGCTCCTCAGATCAGTACACCACAGAGCTGCCACCTCCCCAAGCGCAGCTTTGGGAGAACAGCTGCAAGTTAGGGCCCAGTGCTGTCCCAGAGTGGTTCTTGCCTGCTCACCCACCCTTTGGCTCAAAGGAACAAGACCATTTGCAGCCCCTTTTGTCCAAAGACCCCACAGGTGTCTCAGGCTGTCCTGCAAAGCCAAGACTCTCATCATTTCTGGACTTCAGGTATCATGGCTTCCCTCCCCAACACCTGCCTGTCAAAAGCTCAGGGTTTGTGATCTCAGACAAGTCAATTAACTTCCCTAGGCCTTTGTTTTGTCAACTGTAAATGGGGTTAACCATCCTATTTCATAGGGCTGCTAAAGGAACAAACAAGGTAAGCACTGCAAAATGCTTATTAACAGTGCCTAGCACATAATTAATACTCAATAAATTATACTAAAAAAAAAGGAGAGAAAAAAAGAAAGCAAGTTCCATCGTCCCTGTCACTTCCATCAGTCCTCCCTCTATGGGTTCCTGGGAACATAGCTTGCTGCTGGGCCCAAGAGCAGGCTCTAGTCCTCTGACCTCTAAGTGCCATACTTCCAATGCCCACATAGGGCTCTGAGGACTAGAAGAAAGGGCAGCCATGGAAAAGGAAGGAAAGCCCAAACTCCTGGACCCAAACTCTTCCCACTGGCCTGCCCTGGCCTTGGTTACTCCAGCAAGGGGAAGGGGTCCCTAGGCTCCAGCCCCTCACTCCCTGAGCCTGAGCATTACCTGTAGGGGCAGGCCACCCCAGCCAACGCTACAGCGGTGCCCACTGGCACCTTAGACAGGTTGTCCCGCCGCCCCGGCACCAGGTAGCCCCAGCCATGCTTCTCTGAGTAGTGCAGTGGGAAGCCGTCCCAGGTCAGTGCCATGAGTTTGGGTGTGACCCTCATCTGTAGGCTGAGGAGGCTGGGGCCTGGGGTCCACGCAGGGTCATCTAGCCGAGGGCAGAGTTTCCGGTACCACCTATGCCCCACCAGGAAGAAAAGAATGTCACAGTGGTGGAAGAGGGGGGCAGCATGTAACTGCAAGGAAAGTTCTCTCTCCCACAGCATGCCTTACCCATCCTCCAAGGTCCCAAGGCTTTCTGAAGACCCAGCCTATAGCTAGCATCCCCTTCTCTGGGGTGCTTTGGCAGGACTCCCATGGAATCCCCAAAGAATACAAATGATCTCAAAAGGGAAGATCCCTTATCAGCCCCACAGGACTAGTCAGAAGCCAGGACCCACTAGCACACCACAGCATAGGGTCACGCTCCTCTCCCAAGCTCCATTGCAGCCAGAGTAACTCTCATCTGAGAAGGGAGTAGTAGATCTGCCCTCCCTACTATCAGACCTCCTTGCTGCTCTAAAGATACACCAGGGCCTTCAGAGCTGTCTCTCACATGCTGTTCATCAGGGCCGGGACTAGGGTGAGTCAAGTAAGGCAGCCATGGAACAAAATGTAAGGAGGTGCTCACTTTCTGGCTCATGCTAATGGTGAAGTAAGCATCTGTGGTTCACACTCATAGCCCTTATTTCCTCATCTGCCCACTCTATGAGGCTCAAGTGAAAGTCACCTCCTCAAGGAAGCCTGCCCTGGTTTCCCCCAGTGCCTCCACACTGCTCACTTTCGAGTCTCACCATGGATATAAACATCAGCTACACCAACTGGTCTGCAAGCCACTTCTCCTTTGGAGAAGGAGCCACTTGAAAGAAGAAACTATGTTCCTATCTGTGTCCCCAGTGCTGCCACAGGACATGGCACACTCAGTGCTCTGTGCAGTTACTGAGTAGGGGAAGACGTGGACTAGGGTAGACAATGAGTGTGTGCTGGAAGCTGAGGGAATAAGGCAGCAGGTGAGTAAGTGCACACATGCACATCGCCCTCTGAGCTGGAGAGATGCTGCAATGGGAGCCCAGACCGGGGCAGCCGGAGAGCAGGGGCCAAGGGGCTCACCCAGGGTGTCCAGGAAGGTGCTGGGGCCTCTTGGGCAGGAGTTCTGTGGTCTCCTTCAGCTGTTGCAGGCAGGCACGCACTGTGGCATCGCGCTGAAACTCCTCCTCCTCACTGGGGGGGCCAGGGTCTGCCCAGGGTCAGGAACAAAGGAAGGGACTCTCAGAAAGATCTATCCCCAGCCTACTCATCTCCAGAAGGCTGGGATGACCCCTTTTAAGGCCCCCCTGGGTCCTGGGACCTTCCCAGGGATTAACCCTGCCCCAACTCCCCCCCATGCTCCCCACCTTCCTGATCCTTGGGATCCCCAGGGGCCCCAGCTCCCTCGATGGGCAACTTTCTGGCTGTAGGTGGTTCCTTCTTCTTCACCTTCTTTGCCTTCTTCTGCTTAAATTCCTGCAGGTCCCACTCCAGGTCCCAGAGCCAGGGGTCCTCTTTATACCTACAGAGCCAGTCCACCAGGGCAGGGCTCAGGCTGAGCCAAAGGCCAGGCCTCCTGCCTTCGTCTGTCCTCTGTCTACACCCCTTCCTTCTCCTCCAGGTCTGACTACCTCTCTCCTGTGAGCAGCTGGCAGGCGTCATTGGCCAGGTCCATCAGTGACTTCTTCATCTCCCGCTCGAGCTCCTCGTAGGTGCTATGGGCTTCTGCTAAGTAACGCTCCCAGTTCTGGTTGACAGGCAGGTAAGAGACACCCATCTCCAGCATACCGGCCAGAGTCACCGGGTGGGGACACCTGGGAGCAAACCCCAGGGGCTGCCATGAATGATCACAGAGGGCAAGGCTTCGACCCAATTCCTGGTTTGGCAAGCCTCAATCCAACCACCCCATGGCACATCTCTAAAAGCAATCAACCAAGGGTTTAAATCCTAGCTTTACTACTTCCTAGCAGGGACCCTGAGTAAGTTACTTCATCTCTCTGAACCTCAGTTTTTTCATCATACAACAGAAATAACATCCCTCCCCATCCTAGTTTCTTAGTGCTACTATAACAGAAAATACCAGAAGCAGGTGACTTTTTGGACATCTCCACATGATACCTGTCTTTCCCTCATTTATGCTCACTTGCTTCTGTGTCCAATCTATCTCAAAAGTGGTTAGTTTTAAGACTTGCTCTATAATGATATGGCCTCATTAACATAAGAAAGAAAACCTTATTCCCAAAAAGGACGGTATCCGTGGGTATAGTGGTGGTGGTTGTTATGTGCCGTCAAGTCAGACCCGACTCATAGCGACCCCTCCTTGGGTTTCCGAGGCAGTATCACTATGGAAGTAGATTGCCCCATCTTCCTTCTGAGGAGTGGGGCTGGTGGATTTGAACCACCTGCCTTCTGGTTAGCAGTCAAGTGCCTTAGGCACTATGCTACCAGTATAGTGGTAGGGTTTTACAAATGTTATTTTTGGGGGACACAATTCAATCCATGACACTCTGCTAAGGGATAATGTAGGAATTATTTATGCAAAGAGGAAAATGGCTGCCACATGCTCAGTAATGACTTTGGGCCAGGCACTGTGCTAATAACCCCATACACATAAAAGATCACAACTGGGGTAGTAATATTTGCATATATTTCACAGACGAGAACAATGAAGCTCAGAGAAACTTGCCCAAGGTTAAACAAGTAGAATAGGATAGAGTCAAGATTTGAACTAAGCCTGGCTGATGCTTACGTTTCTGACCCCTTGGTGAGACTAACTCACTAATAAACACACTCAGGACGGATGTGACACCCTTGGCTCAGGGTCTGGGTATAGAAAGCATGTTTAATACAGCAGGCCCTTATATGTAAAATGCAGCCATAAGCCCTCGACCCTCTCCTCCAGGGCTTCAATAGAAACCCAGAATTCAGGGCTCTGGTGGATGCCACTGGATAGACCATGGCTCTATTCTTTCAGCTCAGAAAAGCTAAGGTTCCTAGCCTAAGCAAGAACAACTGCAACCTGAGGACATAGGTCCAGGTGCCAGGAACCCACTGATCCTCAGGGATTATCGTATGGGTACCCCTCACCTCTCCAAGAAGAGTGGTAGCTGCTGCTGGAAAACCTCATAGGTAGCCCACACATCCCGGGCACAGTACTGCATCAGGTCCTGGCACAAGGTGACAGAAAGGCGCTGGGTGGGCAGCCATCCCACTACTACCGCCAGGTCCTAGAGTCAGGCCTGGCAGCTGTACCTCCCAAGGTCAGCTAGGTTCTGCCATAGCCCACCTCCCCATAGCCCTGCTCTCCAGCACCATACCTGGAAGTTCTCACGGATATCCTTCATGCTGCCCTTGATAAATAGTTCTCGTGACTCCTTCTCTAGGGGAGGGCCCCCGACATAGAGGCTATGCACATCTGCCAGGTTGTTGACACTGCTGATGTCCAGCCACTCCCAGGATGAGATCTGGGGACCAGAGCAAGTGGCATAGCAGATTAGCTTGGCATCAGGCCAGACAGGCAGGCTGTGATGGAGGTCCCAAGTGCCCGCTCCTACCCATCCACAGTGTGATCTCACCACTGGGCCCCTGGCTTTGTTCTGAGACTTCTGGCCTCTCTGTGTGAGGTGCCGGGCCTTGTTCTTGCCCTGCCTGGCAGCCATCCATAGGCTGCGCTGGAAGCCGCTTAGCCCTGAGATGGCCATGTGCATGCTCATGGTGTCCAGGAAGCGCATTCGGGAGCCCTGAGGAAGAGAAGAGACCCAGCCGCTGAGGGGCAGCCTACCACTGCTTCCATGGTGTCAACCCCAGCCCCAAGCCCCAGCTCAGCTTCTCACACAACTTCCACACCCATTATACAGCCCTCTAACATGAAGTATGGAACGTTTATGCTTGCTCACACTTGTCCCTCGATGTGAGGGGCCTGCACTCTCAAATCCCAGACACCTCTAAAGGTGCAGGCCTGCCTTGATTCTAACATAAAAGTGCTCCCCGATATCCAGCAAATGCTCTGAGGGGTAAGCTGGGTGCAGAGTGGCCAAAACAAGGCCTTCAGAGATATCAGGTCTGGCCTCTAGCCTCATCCCTGACACTCACTGGCCTGTGGCCCAGGGCAAGTCAACAAAGCTATCAGAGCCTCACCAGCTATGGACTAAGCTTACCTGCCCCACCTGTTTCATAGGGCTGTTGTGAAGACACAATGAAAATGCACTTTCATAAAATTAAGAGTTGCTATTACTATATGCCACACACAATTCTGATTGTTGCACATAGATGCATTATTCAAATCCTAACAACCCTAAAGGAACTTATGCTATTTACCTCTTTTTACAAAAAAAAATAAAGCAAACATGTCACTTTGAACTTGAAGTATACCTGACTCAATCCGTGGTATATTCAACTGCTTCACATGCACGCAAAAGTTGGACAATGAATAAGGAAGACTAAAGAAGAATTGATGCATGTGAATTATGGTGTTGGAGAAGAATACTGAACTGCCAGAAAAACAAACAAACCTGTCTTGGACGGAGTACAGCCAGAATGCTTCTTAGAAACAAGGATGGTGAAACTTTGTCTCATGTACTTGGGACATGTTATCAGGAAAAACTAGTCCCTGGAGAAGGGCATCATGCTTGGTAAAGCAGAGCATCAGTGAAAAAGAGGAAGACCCTCAAATGAGATGGATTGACACAGTGGCTGCAACAATAGGCTCAAGTATAGCAATGATTGTGAGGATGTCACAGGACCAGTTAGTGTTTTGTTCTGTTGTACATGGGGTCGCAATAAGTTAGAATTGACTCAATGGCACCTAACAAATAAGGAAAGTGATATTAAGGTGCTCACACTGGTGATGCAGGATGTGTGCCCAGGCTGTGTGGCTCAGAGACGCCAAAAACCCATGTGAAGCTATAAAAATGCCACTCAAAAATGAGGAACATTATTACTCTGTGACAACCCAGATCTCCTATACCAGGCAGGCTCTGGGGACAGATCAGCTGGACACAAGGACCAGAGCAGGCCTGGTCAACAGGAGACCCTACAAGTGCTGTAAAAAGGCGATGAAACACTGGCCAGAAAAAGCAATCCCTTCCCTAACCCCTGACATCAGGGCTGCTAGCCTACCCTATGCCAGACCTGCAGATAGTCCTGGAGCCTTACCTGGATCAGGTACTGCTCCCTGATGTGGGCTCGGTCAAAGCAAACATTGTGCCCCACCACTAACTGCTCCTGCCAATCCCGCTGGCTAGGGCGGCTGGCATTGGCAGGGATCTCCAGGGGGATGAGGTCAGCCGGCGACAGCTGGCTGGTCCAAGAGTAACGCTCTTCCACCAGCCGCCGGCTGCACCAAGAATACCTGAGAGAGACGAAAGGCAGGCAAGTTTACTGTGGAGGCATTATCTTCTGCTCTGCAACACCCAACACATACCCTCACCACATGCCAGGTTCTACACTAGCAGCTGGGGACACAAGTAAGGCAAAGGGGTCCTCTCAACCCTCACAGAGCTAAGGAGTTGTGGGAGAAAAGAGGTTACAAAAGCTTCTTTACTTTCAAGCTTCTACAAATGAAAATGGAACTAAGTGCTACAGTGCTGGGTTTCCCAGGCAGGCCCGTTACCTAGGCCAAAAAGTCTGTCAGGCCCTGTGTTCACCTAGCCTGTTCTCAGTTCTGAGGTATTTGTTTATAAGTATTACCTACCAACCCCTCACGTTTATAAGCACAAAAAACCTAGTGTTCAAAGTGCTGGAAAGGACGTAGACAATCACAACAGAACCAAAAGTGGAGAACTTTTTAAAAATTTATAAAGTGGGGGGAATAAAAATGGCAAATGCTACACACATGTATAGGATGAATCATCTGACACTGAAGATTGTGAAGGACAAAAAACAAGTCACACACCATGCAGAAGGTGCTGTGCCTGAGCAACCACTCCCAATAAGAGACCAGGGAAAGTGCCACAATGGAAACATGCACGAGAATGTGCCAGGGGTGGAAGTGGAAGGGAGCAGCCTGCTGGGGGCCCAACAATGATTCAGGAAAAGGCTGGCAGTTTGCTTAATATCCACAGGCTAAGAGGATTTTAAGGTGATTTTAAGGTGAAATTGCCGCCAAGAAAAGGTCTGTTATAAGCCACAGATTGCTCCAAAGGGTCAAGACCCACTCTGCATCAGAGTGAGTGACGAGGCCACATGTGTGGACACCACAGCTGTAAAGGTATCCCTACAGCCGTTATAGAGGGGATGGGAGGAGGGCAAATGCCTCTACATAGTTTCAACAAACAAACTTGTTTGTGCAGGGGTGGGGAAGAGAACAGTAAAAAGTTCTTGGTTCTAAACCTGGCAAAATCTAATTCACACTCCAACTCATGGGAATACGCCCAGGAACTCAAGCTGAATGCTCTCTCCTACTTTTAATCCAGCATGTAAAAAAGCCCAAAGTCCTTAAAAACAACAAAGGAAAAAAAGGCTGAAGAATACCAAATATTTGAGGATATGATGATGACAGGGACTTTAATTGCAATAAAAAAAAAAAAAAACACTAGTGTCAAGGCACAGGTCTGCAGCTGCACATGAAATCATCTTACCATAAATTTGCTTGTGATAAAAACAATGCCAAAATGCAAATGCCTTTGATAAATCAAGACAAGTTGGAATCAAAGCCATTAATACCTGTGAAACTCAGATAATCCTGATGGCCTGTATAATGTCCATCTAGACTGATGACCAAAAGCACTTACCAATAGCCTATGGGAAGCCACCCTGTGGGAGTCTCTGGGATCTCCAAGGCTTCCCCTAACTACTAGAAAGTGTGGACTGGTCAGGTACCTAGTGTTACACAATGCCATGTGGCAGGACCTGCCCAGGTGAAAATGGACTGCTATCAGAGCACCATCTGGCACCTACCACCCTTATCAGAGACTCCAAGGAGGAAGGTCCCAGTGAGCTTATGCCTCAAAAATGACTGCTACCACCAGGCAAACTAGGCAATGCCCCCAGTATCACTGGCCAGGATGAAATGAGAATGAGTGGAGGATGGGAAGGATGGGGAAAGAAAGAAGAGAGTTAGAAAGTTGAGAGGAAGGAAGTAAAAGGGACTTCAGATAAACTGGCTAAAAATGTCCAAGAAGTCAAAAAACACTTATTTTTTGTGACCAGTTTCCTCATTTTCTTGCAGCCACCACGGCCTATTTTACCTTCTCCAATGATGGCTAGTATCCCCTTTACTTTGACCATCAGTGACATAGTATGATTCTCATCATAACTGGAACTAAATCAGCGAGGAATCATCTAGTTTTGCTCTTTTAGCCATCAATGCCTACCTTATCTATTTAGCCATGTTTTCACCATTTTCAACTGCATATTTAACATTTCGCAGCTTTCTTTACAAAGATGTGGCTTCCAATAGAAATAAAGAAACTGCCAACTTTTTGCTGGCCATGCCTGAAAGCATTAAGGTTGTAAATAGTATTTTAGTCCTGGAATGAAGAATAAAAAAGGGGAGAAACGGTTTAGGACTCTGTTGATACTGGGCTTCATTGCATCTTTCATACAGCAGCTGGACAGTACTGCCACCATTTTTTGAAGAAATTTGGGTAGCATTTAGAAAAGTTATTTAAAAAGAAGAGCAAGAAAATGGATATATGTGTTTGCCACCAAAACATCTGCTTGGGAAGCTGAGGGAAGAAGCAATGTTTCTCCTCCTCTAGGAAGCATCTGGAAATGCTTAAGGGACTGGGTCTGGTATTTAAGGGTAAAGCTGGGGATGCTAAATGTCTTGTGTTGCCTGGGACAGTCTTGCAAAAAGGAGATTTCTCCTTGTCCAAATAACCAACATCATCCCCAAACAGAAATTGTTCACATATCTTTTCAGAGTTAACTTTGCATGAAACTATCAGAGGGGATAAAGGCACCAAATCATGGTGATCTCTAGTGACCCCCCCATCAGTCTCAAGTACAATACTCTACTGTGATTGTGCACAAAGCCCTTATCACTGCTTGACATTTTCTTGGGTGTCTGTTTACTGCCTATTTTCTAGTACCTCCCACTGGAAAGTGAGCCTCCTAAAAGCAAGGACCAAGCCTCCTTAATTCACTACTACACTGTAGTCCCTAGGCAAGCACCTGGCACACAGCAAAAGCATAGTAAACATGCAAAGAACCAAACTATTAAGCTGGGTCCCCCATACATGCTAAAGTCCCTCTCTCCAGCCCTCACTTACCAGGCCGAGGGGGATATGGCCACCGCCAACGTGGGGCAAGTTCCCTCTGCCAAGCAGACCTCCACGTCGAACACCAGGGCCTGCTCCTCGGGGATGGCCACGGGTACGGCCTCCCCCACGGGGCCGTACCGGGTCCAGCCCTCCGCCCAGGCCCAGCTCGGGGGCTGGGGGGGCAGCTGGGCCTGCAACAGCGAGTTGGCCGCCTCCAAGTAAGGCAGGCTCTGCTTCTGGGCCAGGAGGCGGAAGTGCTGGTCCAGGTTGCCCCCGTAGAGGGGCGGCAGGGACAGCTCCACGTCGGGCAAGGGCGTGATCGGCTGCCCCCAGAGCCCGTGCTTCTGCAGGTGCTCGACGCTGCGGCGCACCGCGGCCTCGCCGGGCGTTTCCCCGTCGTGCCCGAAGATCTGCTCGTGTAGCCCTCTCGAGAGCATCTGGATGTGCAGAGGGTTGTACCGCTGCTGCCCGCCCTCCGAAGACGGCACTTGCTGCTGCAGTGGCTGCAGCTGCCCGTCGTTGGGGACGGGGGCGGAGCTGGAGACCCAGCGCCCTGGAGCTGGAACCAGCCCTGGCCCGACGGCGCCGAATACCTTCTTCCAGAGCTGGCGGTTCATGACTGGTGCAGGGAGCCCCCCGCTGGGAGTCAGGACACCTGGCTTTGGGCTCCAGCTTGGCTGCTTCTACTGGCTGAATGACTTGGCAAGAGACACGTCCTGTCTCTGTTTTCCTGCCAGTGCAATGGGTCTGACCATGCCTGCCTTCTGCCCTCAAATCCTAAAGGAGATATATGATATAGTTACTCATTACATACACATTATGCGTTATAACTTGACTGCTAACCACAAGACTGGCGGTTCAAACCCACCAGCCACTCCTCGGAAGGCAAGTTGGGCAATCTACTTCCGTAGCGATACGGCACCGAAAACACAGGAAGGGGTGGCTATGAGTCGCGGCCCACTCGAAGGCACATAACAACAACATCACTCCTTGAGCACTTACTGCGTGCCAGGCACTGTGACTGGTACATTTTTTCACATACATCTCAAATCTCGGGAAACAGCAATACCTCTACCGAGGAAACTGAGGTTCACATAGGTTATTAAACTTGGGGAAGCTGAATGCAGTAGTTAAGAACACAGATTCTGGAGTAAGAGCACGCAGCTTTGAATCCCACTTTTGGCGCTTACAAACTGTGTGACCTTGGACAAGCTCCTTAGGCCTCAGTTTCCTACTCCGTAAAATGGAGTTACAGATTCTACTCATCATATAGGACTGCTGTCTAGATGACACTGGACGATAATGTCGCGCGGCCCGGCTCTTGTCAAGCACTCGGCAAATGGGGGCTACCATTATCGCGACCGCCGTGGCCCAAGGGTCTAACGCCGATAGGTTCCAGTGCCCGGACTCGAACCCACCGCCTCATCCTGCCGTCCCCTAGAGCCCCTCTACCCATGCCCGTGCCGTGGCTCAGCGGGTCAAGGACGCCCTGCAGGGGGCAGCGGCGGCAGCGGTCCCCGCGCGCCCGCCTGCCGGTGCCCGGCGGCGGCGCCGCGGTGTGCCCTGGGACTAGCCGCCGCCCTGCTCTGGGCCTCGCTCCCTGATTGGAGGGAGGGGCAGCGCGGCCACTCAGCGACCCCTTCTCCCCCGCGCCGAACCCGCCGGAAACCTCAGTCCGCCCGGTAGTTCCCGGTCTGCAGCTCCCCAAACCCTAGGCAGGCGAGGCGGTGTCCCCCTCCCCGCGGCCTATGCAGCCTCGGGGTGGCGTGTGGCACTTCGCCTCGCTGGCAGCCGCAACTTCCCGTCAGCACCCAGCTCGGTCCCGCGGCTACCCAAGAGGCAGGCGGGAGACACCCGGAGCGACCAATAGGAGGACTGCAAATGGACCGATCCGCCCGCGGGGAGATTAAGGGAACTTCCGGGTAAACCCTCCCAGCGACAGGCTGGGAACCAAGGTCCAACCTCCCCTTCGCAGGAAGGAAGTAGGTTGGTCCCAACCAAGCCAGTGGGCGGTAACAATACTTCTTAGGCTGTCCAAAGAAGTAGTTGTATGGGGTGGCCGCGTGGCCTAATGGATAAGGCGTCTGACTTCGGATCAGAAGATTGCAGGTTCGAGTCCTGCCGCGGTCGCTAGGAGTTGCAAATTGAGCTTTTGCTTCGCCTCTCAAGAGTGAAATACTAGGGCAGTATGAACCTAGTAGCAGGTTTCCTACTCATTGAAATCTGGAAACGCCCCAATCTGCGGAAGTCCTAGGTGCGAGAGTTCATATCCAAAATGTACTATTTCACCACGCGGCTAGAGAAGGAGGAGGTATTTTATGTGGAAATTCCTAGTGTTAATTGATCCTGGTACTTACTACGCCTCACTACTAAAGGGAAGCCCCTTAACTCGCTAGTCCGGGCACCCTCTCCCCATCTCCGGCAACTCTGATGGATAAAAGTGGTGCATTTGGTTGACCTACCCGTTTTAATCACGGCCAACTGGGCTACCCATGAGCCGCTTAGCCCCTCTGACCCTGGAAGTAGCCAGAGCGCCTTCCTCTTCTCCCGCCTTCCAGCATCTAATCTTCTTGTCTCCGCATCCTTGTCCGGTTGTTCCAGGTACATACACTATGGAACAACTCTGCTCTCGGCGCTCCGCGATATAGTGCCGTGCAGAGTGCGGGCTCAGTGAATAACAAGGGTCTGGGGAATTGGAGCTATGGTGGCATAGTGCCTAAGGCATTTGATTGCTAGCTAAGCAGAAGGCTGGCAATTCAAACCCACCAGCCACTCCTTGGAAGGAAGGTTTGGCAACCTTCTTCCGTAGTGATACCGCCTCGGAAACCCAAGGAGGGGTCTCTATGAGTCGGATCCGGCTCGACACAGTGCAGGGGATTGGAGCCTGAAGACTCACCCGCACAGATGAGGAATGGTAGTGTGAGAGATTAGGGACCTACCCGAGATCACAGAGCTGATTGTTGTTGTTGTTTGGTGCCGTGGAGTCGGCTTGACTCATAGCGAGTGGCTGAATGACTTGGCGACAGTCATTCAGACAGAACGAAACACTCCCCGGCCCTGCGCCAGCCTCACAATCCTTGCTACGCCTGACCCCATTGTTTCAGCCCCTGTGTCAATCCATCTTGTTGAGGGCCTTACGCTTTTTCGCTGACCCTCCACTTTACCGAGCATAATATCCTTCTCCAGGGAATGGGCCTTCTGACAACATGACCAAGGTAGGTAAGATGAAGTCTGGCGTCCAAGGAGCATTCTGGCTGCGCTTCTTCCAGGACAGATTTGTTAGTTCTGGCGGTCCATAGTACTTTCAGTATTCTTTGCCAACACACCATAACTCAAAATCATCAACTCTTCTTCGGTCTTCCGTATTCATTGTCCAGCTTTCACATGCATGTGAGGTGATTGAAAACACCATGGTTTAGGTTAGGCACATCTTCGTTTTCAAAGAGACATCTTTGTTCTTAGCATTCTAAAGAGGTCTTTTGCAGCAGCTTTGCCCAGTGCAATACGTTGTCTGATTCCTTGACTGCAGCTTCCATTGGCGTTGATTGTGGAGCCAAGTAATATGAAATCTTTGACAACTTCCATCTCTCCATTTATCTTGATGCAGCTTATTGGTCCAGTTGTGCAGATTTTTGTTTTATGTTGAGGTGTAATCCATACTGCAGACTGTAGTCTTTAATCTTTATCAGTGAGTGCTTCAAGTCATCTTCACTTTCAGCAAGCAAGGTTGTTTCATCTGCATATCATAGGTTGTTAATGACTCTTCCTCCAATCCTGATGCCATGTTCTCTTCATATAGTCCAGCTTCTCCGATTATTTGCTCAGTGTACAGATTGAATAAGTGTGGTGAAAGGATACAACTCTGATGCACTCCCTTCCTGATCTTAAAGCATGCAGTTTTCCCTTGTTCTGTTTGAACGACAGCCTCCTGGTCTATGCACAATTTTCTCACGAGCACAATAAGTGTTCTGGAATTCCCATTCTTCTCGATGTTATCCATAATTTGTTACAATCCACACAGTCGAATGCCTTTGCATAGTCAATAAAGCACAGGTATTCTTCACAAGATATACACAGGTATATCTTTCTGGTATTCTTTTCTTTCAGCCAACATCCATCTGACATTGCCAATGATATTCCTTGTTCCACATCCTCTTCTGAAGCCAGCTTGCATTACTGAAAGATCCCTGTCAATATATTACTGCAACCATTTTTGAAATATCTTCAGCAGAATTTTACTTGCATGTGGTATTATTTTGTTCAGTAATTTCCACATTCTGTGGGATCACCTCTCTTTGGAATGGGTACAGACATGGATCTCTTCCAGTCGGTTGGCCAGCAGTTGTCTTCCAAATTTCTTGGCATAGATGAGTAAGTACCTCCAGTGCAGCATACATTTGTTGAGTCATCTCAATGGGTATCCCTTCAATCCCTGGACCCTTGTTTTTCACCAATTCCTTCAGTGCAGCTTCGATTTCTTCCTTCAATACTGTTGGTTCTTGATCATATGCCACCTCCTGAATTGGATGAACACCAACCAATTCTTTTTGGTCTGTGTATTCCTTCCATCTTCTTTTGATGTTTCCTGCATCATTTAATATTTTTCCCATGTTGTTGTTATGTGCCATCAAGTCGGACCCGACCCCTCTTTGGGTTTCCGAGGCAGTATCACTATGGAAGTAGTTTGCCCCATCTTCCTTCCGAGGAGTGGCTGGTGGGTTTGAACTGCCAGTCTTCTGGTTAGCAGTCAAGTGCCTTAGGCACTAAGCTACCAGAGCTCCTGTTTTTCCCATGGAATCTATTTTCCCCATAGACTCTTTCAATATTGCAACTCAAGGCTTGAATTATTTCTTCAGTTCTTTCAGCTTGAGAAATGCTGAGTGTGTTCTTCCCTTTTGGTTTTCTAGCTCCAGATCTTTGCACATTTCATTATAATGATTGACTTTGTCTTCTCAAGCTTCTCTTTGAAATCTTCTGTTCAACTCCATTATCTTGGCATTTCTTCCATTTGCTTTAGCTACTCTATGTTCAAGAGCAAGTTTCAGAGTCTCTTCTGACATACATTTTGGTCTTTTCTTCCTTTCCTATTTTTTTAATGACTTTTGCTTTCTTCATGGATTATGTTCTTGATGTCATCCCACAAGACATCTGGTTTTCAATCATTGGTGTTCAATGCATCAAATCTGTTCTTCAGCTGGTCTCTAAATTCAGGTGGGATATAATCAAGGCCATATTTTGGCTCTGGTGGACTTGTTTTAATTGTCTTCAGCTTCAGCTTGAACTTGCATATGAGCAGTTGATGGTCTATTCCACAGTCAGCTCCTGGCCTTGTTTTGGCTGAAGATATGAAACTTCTCCATTGCCTCTTTCCACAGATGTAGTTGATCTGATTCCTGTGTACTCCATCTGGCAAAGTCCATGTGTATAGCTGCCATTATGTTGTTTAAAAAAAAGGTATTTGCAATGAATAAGTCATTGGTCTTGCAAAATTCTATCATGAGATCTCCAGCATCATTTCTATCACCAAGGCCATATTTTCCAACTACTGGTGATTCCTCTTTGTTTCCAACTTTTGCATTCCAACCACCAGTAATAATCAACATATTTTGATTGCATG